CTATATATTAATAGTACATTATGACAAAATAGTAATTTCTAAATCATCATTCGGAAGCACATAAATGAAAAATTATACATATTAAAAATCATCAAAAAAATATATCATAGGTTCTTAAGAACCTTTCAAAAAATTATTCCTTTTCTAATGGCAATAACAATATTAGCAATAATGTAAGTTTTTCTCCAACTGACAAAGAGGATTATCTTTTATTTGAAAATTCCATATCATTAATTATGAAATTTTTGACTTAAATAAATTAAGAATGTAAATTTTATAGAAAATTATGCTGGATTTGTCTTAATTTTTTTATAAAGTAATTCGAGAATTTTATGTAAATTTTTTTTTTACATTCCATTCTCTTACTTTTATCATTATATAAAGCAAAAATAATATATTTTAACAGAAGATTAATATATTTTAAATTACAATCTTTAACTTTTAGTTAACTTTGATAATCTGGATTTTAATTTACCATCAAATAATCATAATATTATATTTCTCTTAGCTTATTTATTGTATGTCTTATTAACAAGCTAAATATTTTTTATATTTATATTATATGTCATCTAAAATTTTAAGAAATTCAATTAGTAGTAGTAGTGTTAAAAATTTTTAATTTCATAAGCTTTGGATATTTCAATTTAAATTAAGTCATATGAAAAACAAATCACTAGTAATTCATGTGTATCAAATATAAAGTGTATTATTTTTTCAGTACCTTATAGATGTTAATAAGATGAATCAATTTTCTAAATTTGTATAAAACTGAAAAATCTTTATATTAAAATAAAATATAAATAATCTGAAGAAAGTATTATAAAATTTCATTATGATACATCAGCCTATTTTTTTAACCAATTATTATCCTTGACTCATAAACCTTAGCTTTTAAAACAAAAATAAATTACCTGGAATGTATAATTTAGTTAACTTTTGAATTCTATTCTAAAATTTATTATTTTTTAGTTTATATTTAATAATTGTGAATTATTCTTAACTTTATTAAACTTAAATAAATTCATTTTATTGAGAAAAGCAATAGATATTTAGCTTTTCTTTTCATAATGTTTTAGTTTATTTCAAGTTTCATTTTTTAATATTATCAATTTTGCAAAAAAAGACAAACATTTAATCTTTTGGTCAAAAACTTAGAGAACTCTTATGAAAAGTGAATTCTTCTATTATATCTAATAATTTTTAAGCTTATGGATATTCAATCTTTATGTCCTTGTATTTAGGTATCAAGCTTTTTTCTCATTTAAATCCCACATTATAATTGCCACTTCAGCTTTTATCTCTTAACACATCCACAAGCTAATAAAAACTCACCTTGAGATACAGATAGTGCATTAATGAAATATTAAAGAAGTATTTATGCTTTAGATGATTCATTAACTTTAATATTCCAGAGCTTTATTAATTTTTTATAACTTTATAAAGCAAGGAGCTACCATCCTATGAAACTAAATTGACTTTATTTATTCAAAAGACTTTTTAATATACCAACATTCTTTTTGCTTTAACATCCCAAAATATGATTTCTCATCTGTGGATATTTTTAAACATTCTTATTAAGAAAAATACATCATACAACTTATGTCCTTTTTAATTTTTCGAAATAAAATTTAGAATATGATGTTGAAAATAACATAATTTGGCTTATATTATTAACAAATACAAACTAATCCTTTTCAACTACTTTTTAGAATCTAAAGAATCCTTCAATTTAAAAATTTTCTTTTTATTTTATCATAAAATAGTGATTTCCAAAATAGGTATTTACTTAGAATCATTCACAAAGAAATTATTTCTTCATCAAAACTTTTGTAGGAAAAATTGAAATATAATTTAATTTTATTCTAACAATGTATATTACATTTTTCGACATATCTAAATGATTTTTTTCTTAATTAAAAATTTGCGATAAATAAATTTTATTAGATGCTCCCTATGTTAAAAA